AAACTTCCCCCTATTTTCTGGCCCATAAATTCTCTTCTAGGTGCCAACAATCAAGGCAGAGAAATAATATGGATAATAAATAAAACGGAACCATGATGGCTTTAATAACTCATACAAGTAATGTCACTTTGGGATATATAAATACCCTTTCCTCTTCCATCATTGTGGACCCAAATGCATGTGGCTGACATGGGTCTTTCTGCTCACAGGATTCAGGCATTCAAATACTGCGTTTTTGATACAACATCAAGCTCTCTCACATGTGAGCATGCAATGCTCACAAATCTAAGTGGAATAGACCACATCTCGGCTTTGCAGATTTCAGGATCAGTTGAAGATACCACAGAATCACAGAATGTTAGGGATTGGAAGGGACCTCAAAAGATCATCTAGTCCAATCCCCCTGCTGGAGCAGGAACACCTAGATGAGGTGACACAGGAAGGCGTCCAGGCGGGTTTTGAATGTCTCCAGAGAAGGAGACTCCACAACCTCTCTGGGCAGCCTGTGCCAGTGCTCTGTCCCCCTCACCGAGAAGAAGTTTCTTCTCAAATTTAAGTGGAACCTCCTGTGTTCCAGCTTGTGTCCGTTACCCCTTGTCTTATCATTGTTTGTCACCGAGAAGAGCCTGGCTCCATCCTTGTGACACTCACCCTTTATATATTTATAAACATTAATGAGGTCTCCCTTCAGTCTCCTCTTCTGCAAACTAAAGAGACCCAGCTCCCTCAGCCTTTCCACGTAAGGGATATGCTCCACTCCCTTAATCATCTTTGTAGCCCTACGCTGGACTCTCTCCAGCAGTTCCCTGTCCTTCTTGAACTGAGAGGCCCCTCAGAAGGGGTCCTCAGAAGGACTCAGTATACCACCTGAGTAACAGAGTACACATTGACAAGCAGCAAGGGCAGTACAGCCACCAGCTGGCAGAGCAGCACAACGTATTGAGTTACCCACTGAGAGGGACTCTGCAATGAAACATCTTGGCCTTTAAAGCAGCTTCCTACAGGCAAAAAGAGACTTAATCCCATTCAGTGTCACCACGTTAAGCTAGGCATATGTATAAAACACAGAATGGTAGGAGCTGGAAGGGACCTCTGGAGATCATCTAGTCCAAACCCCTTGCCAAAGCAGGTTCACCTGCAGCAGGATAAATAAAACGCAGGATAAATAATACAATAAAAGTAGGTTAAATAATGCCATTTCTTCTCTAAACTAAAATGCACAATATAAGTTGACTGGCTGACTTGTGCAAAGGGTTGAAAACACGCATGGTCACTTGGTCCAAAGAACTGAGATGACAGGAGTTTGCTTTCCTTGTGGCTATTCTGTTTCTTAGAAAAAGAAAGAAGGATTATCTGGTGGGCACTACCAGGGTGTCTCTAAGACAGAGTGTCAGTCTATCACAAGAAAGCGTGCTCAACTGGGATCAAAAAGCCAGGCTGTGATGTGCTGGTCTGGGACTGACTGGCAGCGCCTTGCTCACTGACACTCCTAAGGTAAACTACGTAATGCATGCACCTGGGATGTTATTTCAAGGGTAGATACAGCCTGTTCATAGATCCTTTGCTAGGCTCTAGAAAGACTGGGCAGGTGAGAGAGTAAGTAGAGTCCCCTGAACTGTTTCACCACATGTAACAGCTGTGAGGATACAGCTGATATTCACATGGGTAGGTCCTTAAAAGCAATTTTCAATATCAAGAGGTTATCTTCAGTTGACAAGTCTCTCAGTAGCACTGTTGGCTATTGCAGCGATCAAAATTCCTTCCCTTGACTGAATGCATTGGTCAACTCAGAATCACCACTCCTTAGCAATGTACGTGGCTGGAATTGTATCTTGGCTGCTCGACTTTAAATATTATGACCAATTAAGGCCAGTGGCGAGGAGGATGAAACTCCCTGATTATTTCAGTGTTGGATGAGGCTGGCAGTTCTCGACCAATGTAGAAAACATACTTTCCTGTCCTCTGCCTCCCCCTCTCCTTAAAGACTCAAAGATCACAAAAGCTGAGCGCAGTTTCCCATGTATGAAAGGCAATGAGGTAAGTCTCTGTGCTGGAGTCTGAAGACTGCCTTCAAAGACACCTTCCAGAAGCACAGCCTGAACCTGATGCTCTCTCTTGGCTCCCATATCTGTGAACACAAGCAGACCACACGTAAGCCATTGAAACATACAAGTATCTCAGTAGGACAGAGCTTCTGCTGAATCAATCAGAAACACCACGTCACTGTATGATGGCAACAGTTTAAAGTCAGAGGGCCTAATTTATATGGCTCTGCAACCATGTCATGCCAAACAGACATGTAAGGATCAGCTGTCTGAAGATTTCTACACTCTAGTTTTAGTTGAACGAGTAATTATTACACAGGTTCAAAAGCATTATACAAGGAAGAAAGAAACAAGAAAATACAAAAACAGCTCTGTAACTTAAACCCCAGAACAGACAGATTCAGAATTCTACTTGTGGCCATGTTTATCTGAAAGACCCTGTATATAGACATGTAATACAAATTAAAGAAGAACAAAACCATCCCTCCCTAGCTGAGGTGAGCAACCACCACCTTATAACAAAGCAAACTCTTGTACTTATTTCACAACCCCTAGCACTTCTTTCAAGGACTAGAAACAAAGCATAGCAATGAAAATAGTAAGGTTATTTTTACACATAAGAAATGGCGAGATGTGTGAAAGTCCGTAAGAGCACTCAGAGACTTCCTTAAGAAGTGAACAACACGAGCAGGGTACCATAGGAAATGACTCTTTCC